GGCTGTTAAGCAGTGGAACAGACTACCTTGAAATGCTGTAGATTAACCATCACTGAAAGCTTAAACACAAGTCAGATGAACTTCTGTCTTACTGGTTTAGACATATCCCCCCTATGCAGGGGTTTGGACTAGATAACCATCTGAGCACTAGGGCTGCGTGAAGCTTTGGTCCCTGATTCAATTCGGTGGAGATTTGGCTTGATTCGGTAGCTGAGTCTCCAAATCCAAATCAAATCAGAGGACCCTTTAATCTCTCCAAATTGAATTGGAACCCTCCAAATCAATTTGGAGAGATTTGGAAAGACTCGGAAATTCAGACATAGGCACAGTTTTAAATGCTTTTTCTACATACCTCTAGGTAGCAGGCAGCTCTATCTAGTAGGTGGTCATTCTGTGGCACAATGGATAGTGCATTAGACTTCTAGAGGGTAAAGGGACTCAAAGCCTCCGGGTTTAAGTCCCAGCAGAGTTGTGCTTTTATCTTGCTGGGGTCACTTGATCCCAGATGACTTCCCACCTCTGGTGTCGGGGCTGGACCTGATGATCTTATGAGGCCCCTTCCAGCCACTAATGTCTATGAAATCTATTAATGCTGCAATGCTGGGGTGCATGGAGTGTCCCACAGGAGCACAAGGGACTCCCCAGTGTGTTTGGCAGCAGACCCAGAAGTGGACCAGAAGCATTTCTGGTCCACTTCTGAGTTAGCCGCCAAGCACATGGAGGGCTCCCCCGCACTCCTGTGGGACGCTCCATGTGCCCCAGCATCACAGCATTCACAAGCTGCACTGGTACCTTGAGGTATGTAGAAAAACCACTTAAAGTTGTGTCTGTGTCTGAATTGCTGATTCTCTGAATCAGCATCGAATCTTCAGATTTGGATTTGGCTGAATCGAATTAGGTACAGTGATCCGAATCAATGAATCAAATCACTATCCCTGATTCAGGCCAAATCCAAATTGAATAGGGCCCGCTTTGCACACCCCTACAGAGCACCCTTCCAGCCTAGATTTTTAGATTCTGTAAGACTTAAGGAAAAGATGCAAGTAGTGGTAATAAGGGGAGAGGGGGGAATGGAAGAAGGGAGAGTGGCCCCTTTAGAAATGGTCTCCCATAGTTAGAACTTTAATAGTATAGTTTGTAGAGGTATAGGGATTTATTTATTCATGTTAAGTCTATATTTCAAATAATAGTTGTCTGGAAACACTAATGATATGCTACAGTCCTGGAATTCAAGAAAATAAGTCTTCTAAAAGAGATCCACAAGCATATAGAGCCTATGATCAAAAAATGAATATAGTAACACATTTCTGATCAGATATAAATATACTCAAAATCATCACTTTAGGCACAATGCTCTTTGGAAGCAAGTAACTTTGTGACAAGCCTAAATTCATCCCGAGATGCAGTTGTTACTGGGAGGAGATAGATCTAGTGAGGGGAATCTTTTGTTTCATCCTTCTTCACATGATTCATATATAAAGAAATCTGAGTTTCTGTTGCTCTTAATCCTGAGCTAGGGGAGGTGACAATGCAGTAGGGGGGATATATCCTGGTGTATATTTCTCCTATTGGTACCTGATCATCCCTAGCTTAGTAACAAAAGTATTACCTGAACCATAGAACAATTTAAAGCCACATTTTGCTTTGTGTTCTTAGTTTTCATCTATACCACGTATGTGGCCTTTTTCTTGACCTGATACAGTTACACTTGTATGAACCTGTAGTGTAGATGTGCTGTGCCAGTGCCTAGGCCTTTTCACTCTCTTGTTCCCAGTAACAACATAGACTTTAGAACCAAAATCCAATTATTTTGCTGCCTATTATACAAACACTCTACATAGAGTCTATTAGCATATTTATATTAAGGCTATTAATACTGTGGCTTTTAACCTTAGTATCCTTATTGTTACCTAATTGTTACCAGTTTGCTATTTTATGGTGATTAAACAATTTATATTAAGGTTAAAAGCCACAGTATTCTTAAATTGTGTTTATTGTGATTATATTATCAATCTTTATATTGAACATGTTTTCTTGTCAACAAGTGTCTGAAACACAAGACAGAAAAAAATGGAAGCGAGAGAGAAAGAGATGGGATAATTAATGGAGAGTTTTGTGCTTGAAATAGGGGCTTTTGTATTTCAAGACCAAATGTACCACTTCATCCCCATATGGAAGTTTACACCAAGCGTGCCATCACTGAATAATTGATGGCGAGAGAGACCAACTAGCTCCGTACCTCCCAACTGTGTTAACTATTCTCACCCACTATTAAAAATTTAAGTAGCAGCAGAGTTTCATTTCCTACTGGCTCTGCTTTTGAAAGATGTGCAGGCTGCTTTACTAAACCAGCCCTTCAGTCATCCATCTTTTAAAATGTTTTGTAGTAGTTCAGCTTTGAAAAACCATTTTTGACAGAGATTGAAGAAAATAATCATCCTGAAAACCTGATCTATAACACAACACTGTCGCCTTCCAGGCATTTTCTTCTACCCAAGAAATGTTGGTGCACACAAAAGAATTGGGTCATGGATAGTTATGAAATAATTATAGGTAGAAGAAAAAGCAGAAAGCAACATGCTTCTTCCACATGCCCAATCTAAAATTGATAATGCATTGTAGTGAAGGATCATTGCAGGAAAGACTGCCTCATATATACTTAGGTTATACAGGGCCATTTAATACTGGAAAAAAACTTACCTTATTTCCTTTAGTATTAGTAGAAAAACTCAGTTGAAATTGTAATCCAGCATAAAGGCATCGTTTATCTCATTGAATCAAATATATCTGTTTCTATATTATGTTACTAAACAGGATCTTAAAATGTTAAAAACAGTCTTGCTGGGAAGTCTCTGCACTCTAGAAAGAATAAGGCATAAAAATGCCATTCCTAATTGCCACTCCCCCTCCATAAAGGATTTCTCAATTGGCTGCTGAGGAAAGATGCCATATTCCTATAGCCCCTGCACTGTTTTCAGTGCCTGTGAAGCACTAATTAGTTGCTATTCAACAACTGTGGTTTCACTGGGGAGCAACCAGCAGCTACAAAATAGAGACTATTTCACAGTCCTTTTCACAAGTTGGTCTGTGTATATGCACAGACCGCCCAGCTGGGCAGCAGCTCCAGCCCCAGCCCTGCCTGGTGGCCATGTGCGCATACACATGCACTTTAATGTGCAGTAGCCTATTTTACTGCACATTAGAGCACCATATCAAAATCCTTGCTAATATGATGGCAAATTAGGCTACCGTACATTAAGCATCACTAAACAAGCACGAGCTTTCACTAGTGTGCATTAGGGCAGCCTAATGCTTATATATTTAGTACCTCACATTAGAAGGTGCCTGTGCACAAGCATGGAGACTGCTCCAACACACTGTAATTACAGTGTGTGGGTGCAAACTTGATTAATTAAGTCTGCTGGAATGTGGTAATTACCATATTCCAGCAGCCTCCTGCAACTCCTGTATCAGCCCCCCCACATGCTTAAAAATGGCAGTGGGGGCACTTGAACTAAAGCTTGTAAAATGAGCTTTAGTTCAAGTGCCCCCACCACCATTTTTAAACATGGGGATGCTGATATGCTGCAGTGCTTTAATTAGAGCAGCTCTTAGAGCCACTCTAATTAAAGCACCACCTCTCCCACCCCCAGAGCACATGTAAAAGTGTCCAGAGGTACTAAATTTAATGTACAGTAGCAAAAGCACATTAATGAACATGTGGACACACCCACTGGCTATCCTAATTCGGAAACAGCCAGGAAAGATTTTTAAAAAGGATAAGTTGTTATTGCTCCTCCTCACACAATGGGCAATGATTGACTGTAAGACTCTACAGACTGAGAAACTTTCTTCAACCTACCCCCTCCACCACTGCGGACCATTGTACAGGTTTGTGTGCATCTATCTTCTTTCTCTCTGTGTCTTGACTCCTCTCCCTTTCCTTCCGCCACCCCCAGGCCTAGTTAACTAACATTATATTTTCTGTAACCTAGTTGCGTTCCCTTCTTTACCCTCATCCCTCTTATATTAGTCCCTTGCTTGGGTGCTCTGTATTTCCCTCATGGCTTTGTCATCTTTTTGGTTCATGATTCTTAACATCTACTAATAAAATGCAATCTGTTCTAGGTGTTGAAGTATATTGTCAACTGAACACTAGTCTATAATGTTATACTGCTGTGTAAAAACTCCAACACTATACTGGGATGTATAAACAGGAGTATTATGGTAGCTATATGAAATAATCCTTCCATTTTATTTAGCACTGGTCAGGCCCAAGCTGAAGTACTGTGTCCAATACAGTTTGGTCAAGAAAGATGTGCACTATCTGGAGAGTTTGAAGGAAAGGTACATCAGAAGTCAAGAACACTTCTTCAAATATGTAAAAGGTGAAAGAGGAAGGCTGTAAACTGTTATCCTAGTTTGTGGGGAAATAATTGGCTTAAATTGCAACATGGAGGATTTAGGATAGACATCAGAAACCCCCCCCAACTCAACAGTTAAGCACTATAAGGGGCTATAAAGAGGTTACAGTATCACTGGAGGCTTATAAGTGCACAAATAAGCATGTCAGAAATGGCAGAAGTAGCTGATTCTGCCCTAGAACAGGGAGATGAACTAGGTGACCTCTCATGGCCTCTTTCCCTATGATTCCATTTACACTCACGATCGCAGTTCTGATTTTTCAAAGAAATGATTTTTTGGTATCTAACCCTAAGTTTTTTACTTTCTTTTTTTAAATGTGGCATGTGTGTGAAGGAAATGCATTTAAATAGCCCCTCTTATCACTATCACTTAGATAGACACTTAAATCATAAATTCTTCCCTTTCAAAATATATTTCCTTGGTCTAGAATGTTCTTTATGTTTAAATATCTTGATAGTTAGAATAGTTAAGCTTGTTATGATAAAATCCAGGGGTCAACCTATTCATTGTATATGCAAATAGCTACCGTGGGGGACAAACCATGACAGGTACTATGCTGGAATTAGAAAACAAAATTCAGATGTCAACAGCAACAATTTATTTTCTGATCATTTATCATTTTACAAAAAAAAGCAAGTATCAAAAACAGCAAAGGTCTTCACAAATTCCTCTCAATTTTACACAACCGAACAGGTGTAAAATGTGAATGTAGAACACTGGTGCATTTCAGTTTTTGTTACACACATTCAGGGTGATCTGAGGTCTGGGATACACTGGACTCCATGGACATTTTTAATTAAAAAGAACTTGTCTCTCTTGGGACTTCACTTGGTTTATCTGTTAGTTAACACAATGCACTAAGCTATATTATGGAATGTGAATCTACTGGTATTTTCTAGGTCCCATGTACCTGGGGAAAAATACTGATCAAGACATTTTACAAGGGCCACACGGGCAATCTTGAGAAATGTGCACTGATGTCCAAAGGCAGCAACTGTGCTGCATTTTATATAATTGTTTCTCTTTCAGCTTGTTGCCAAGGGCATTTACTACTTGCCCTTATCTACATCTACTCTGCTCCCAAAATACGATTACTAAATTAGGACCCAGTGAAAATCAACATTTATCTCCAATGATTTAGACTATTCTTTAACTGTTATGACTTGCTCTCTCTGATCAGCACCTGGCTGATCACAAAGAAAGCAAAAAACCAAACAAACCCCATAGATGTGAAATTCTTACAAGAAAGGAAAAAAATATCAATTTACTGAATGAATAATTAGGTTCTGAGGGAAGACAGAGCCAACTCACTTCTACCCAACTCACTGCTGTAGAGCTCAGAAGTTGACCAAGAGAATGATCCAGTTACCTTTAATAATAGCTGTCAACTTCTCAAACATATATCTATATTACATCAAACACTGTGGGGCTAGCTAGACAATTAATACACTGCCTTAAGTCCCTCAGCCTCTGCATGGAGAGTAAGGGCAAAAATCTGCCACGATTATTTACATGAACTCAAACCATCATACACAAAAATTGTGTATAACTATCCATGTGTATATACTGTATGTGATGCCACTGAAATGCTTCCGAGTACCAAATATTCCCATTAGAAATTAAATTGCACCTCTATACTAGCCAAAGGTTAACAAAAGGAAATGAGATATGCATATTTTGTCGGATATGAAAGCAGCAGCAAGAAGGCAAGCTGAGAGAGACAGATGCTACCCACAGGGCAGTGACGACATTTGGTTCTTTTGGTCTTTGTACCACCACTTCCCACACCAATAGCAGACAGCCACTTGTTGCTGGACTTAAACCGTTTTTCTGGCAGTCAAGACACGGACAATGGACCCTACACCTCCAGCAGCAAGGGCCTGAAAAAGCAGAGAAATAACAATAAATAAGAGCCAAGGTAAACTCAAACTGGAACAATTAACTGTTAAAAGTATTTTGAAATGCCACAGTGCACTTCCTCTCAGCATCTCCAAATGCTTTTAAGAACACTAAACCAGTAGCACTGTGAAACACAGAAGTATTACTACATTCATTTTACAGATGTGGAAGTGGCACTGATAATAGAGAGCTTGCTTCTGCAAGCTCTTAATTCTTTAAGAGTCAGTGGTGGAGGAGGGGCGTCAAAACTTCTGCATTCTATTCCCATTTAAATCTTCTGCTTTAATCTTTAGGGTAGACTACTGCTTCACCTTTGTCTCATCGAATGCCATCAAACATCAGCTCTAAAGGCTATATTCAAAGATACGGCAGTACATTTGTGTATGATTCACACTTTTCCATGTAGAACCTTGTCTTTCCTGCTGTCATACAGACAGTAGTATTTCAGGAGGAAGAAACAGTGGCTGTTATTGGACTCAACCAAAAGACCAAGTCCTAGATACAAAGATATCCACTAATGTGAATTTCCAGACCACCAGGACTCTTCTCCTATAAACATACCTTTTCATGCCACTGCAACAACACTGCACTACTGTTGTCAGAGGGGCTTTCGAAGCCCTTGTAGATGTATTTCATTAGCAGGTCGACTCCATTCTTGTCTAGAGACTGTACTGCCTTCTCAATATCGTTGGCTTTGAAAGAGATGAGGACCTTCAAGACAATGCTTTCTGCCCGATCCTATAAAGAAGTAAAGGAAAAAAGGTCACTACTGGGAACCAAACCCATCCATACTCATATGGCATGTGCCCAAATGTTAAAGATCTCTTCACTCCAGGGGGTACCACATTTCATTTTCAACTACTGACAAACACATTTAAGACAACTGAAACACAAAGCTGCAAATCATACTATATAACAGATGCATACAACAGAAGAACATTAACTCAGCTGGCTTTGCCACATATCTACAATTCTAAATGAACCTAAAGATAAGTAATACAAATTTAGCTTTAAGAGTACTCAAGTTACTTAAACTTGGTCTTATCAGTTGATTATAAGAAAGCTAAAAAAGTTATTACGGAGCCAGTCTCAGAACAAACCAAATGAAGAGAGCAACAGGTTTGCCTTCTTCTGGGTTTTCTGTCTGTTCTCCAAGTTCTGCTTCCGTTTGCTGAGGCTACAAAACTACCTGCGAGGTCATCTTTGTGGTGATGTCTGTATTCTCAAGTCTCGCATAAATTCATGTGGCTGACTGTGAGGGGAAAAAAATTCTTTATCAATTGATTGGGGAATCTGGTACAGCCAATGAACTCCAATTTGAAATGACAGTGGAGTAGTCTACTTTAAACAGAGCAGTGGGCAGTGGTATAATTTGAACGATTTCTACATCTACCACACATCTTTCACCTCTGCATTGGGTATCTGCAAGGGATCACTATCCATTCAAAATTTGCTTTGGGGAGCCTTTTGACAGCCAAATAGCAGGAGCATATGATCTATTCAAAGCACTGTTCAATGTGGGAACACTGACATTTGCAGTCTGCACTGGAAGGGAGATTTGCTGACTATGCAGCGGCCGATCAATTTGTACTACTCTTTGGTAAGATTAGGGAACAGCTTAGCTAAGAGGGCAGCATGTAAATAAGCTGTACATGCACAGAGAGAGAGGCAGGGAGGGAGGGACATGGACGGTGGGGGAGGTATTAGAGCATTAGGAGAGGATTCACAAGCAAGCGTGAGGGTGAACGGCTGTTTCCTACTTCACCTTCACTGCCTGGCTCTTGGTGTTGATGGGTGGGTTTTTCAGAGCAGCCTGCAGCGCAGCCATCATGTTCCCTGTGAACACAGGTTAAGGCAAAGAGGGGAAACAAGCACCTGGAAGGCAGCAGTCAACCTCAAGGCATGAATAATCTGCTCCCCCCACAGCCCTCCGCTGAAGGATCTCTGAGACGGCATCGAGCACAGGGGAGGTTATGGGGGCTCCCTGTGAGGCAGCGAGTGGCAAGAGCTGCTGGGACCTGAGGGGCTGGCCCATTACTGCTGCACTCATGACTTGGGCATTTGGAAATCTCTAGGAGCCTCAGCAGAGCCGTCTGCCCAGAAGGTGGGCGAGCACCAAGGCTGGTGCGTCCCTCTGTGGCTACGCTGTCACCAGCTCCCCTCAGGTGAGCCGCCTCTGTGGCAAAAACCCCACATCCGGCAGGGCCACGCTGCTTCCGTCGCCATGGAGACGGGGGAGGAGCCGAGGACCGCAGCCCGCCCCTTGCAGCCGTTTTCCCCATAAAAGGAGAGGGCCGCGCATGATCCCGCCCCCGCGAAACGCGCCCCATCCCTGCCCCCGTCAGGCCCGCGGCTCCTCGCCAAGCACCGAAGGATATTGTCGCAGGCACGAGTCCACCTCGCCCTCGTCCGGCCCGGCCTGGCCGTCGCCACCGTCCTCCTCGTCTACGAACTTGTTCTCGTCATACTCGTCCACGTCCACCCGGCGGAAGCGCGCCGACGACACCGTGTTCTTCGCCATTGCCCCGCGCCCGGCCCCTGCCGCGGCCGCGCCGCTCGCTCCGTGCTTGCAGGGCGGTGCCGGCGTCCCGCGCCGCCGCTTTCTGCAGCCGCTTCCGCCTCACACTTCCGCGCACGCGCTGTAGCGAGGCGCCCACCTCTGCCGCCGGCTCCCTCGGTGCGCGCATGCGCAGAAAAGGCCTCGTCCCGGAACAGTCGGGGTTCGCAGGCGGTTGGGTGGTGCCGGGTCCGGCTCCTTGCTCCGCCCCCTCCGGCGGCAGAGGCGAGACCTTGGGGTGGGGTCCAGCCCCGTCCCTCGACCTGAATTCGGGCCGCCGCGAGGGGCGCGCAGGAGGGAGCTCGGGCAAAGCGGGAGCTCGTTAGTCGAGTCCCCTGTGGGGAAGGGCTGCGGGGTGCCGGTTAGCGGCTGTCTCAGTCGCTTTTACATCCGCTGCGTAAGTGGTCTCCACCCTTTTTAAGGTGAAGATCACTTTTTGAAGTAAAGGGGCAACCCAGGATCTGCCCCCCAGCCACACCCCCACCCAGCAGACCACTTCATGGGGGAGGGGTGGGGAGCCGATTGAGCCCCCCCTCCCCCCCCGTGAGGGAGGGAGTGGGGCGGGGTGAGGGGGGCCCTGGCCCAGCTGAGTGGTGGGAGGGACGGACCCGGAGTGTGTGGGGGCTCCTGCTGCTGCACACACCCCAGCAGAGGCCCAGGGGCATGTGCCCCTCCCTAGTCTGTGCAGGGCAGAGGTGGCTGGCTGTGGGTTGGGAATGTGGTGCGCGGGCAGGGCTGGGATGGGAGGGAGCTGTAGTCTGAAGTGCGGGGTGGGCACCAGCAGGGACTGTGGATCCAGAGTGAGAGGTACTAGCAGGTGGGGCAGGGCACAGGCATATCTGTGCCCCCCCCCCCCTTCCCTTCCCTTGTACCTTGCCTGCCTGGCAGCGGGACACGTGGTGCTGGGCTGGGGGGCTTTAGTGACGGATGTACCCCCACATGGCCCTGGATGAGCTGATCATCCCAGCACCTGCCCTGGGAGTGGCCCAGTATCGCGTGTGCCCTGCCACTGGGCCAAGCCCCCACCCGCCCAGTGGTGGAACGCCTGTAGTACGTTCATTGTCCAGCCAAGAATTCTTACAGGAACATTCAACGTTCAAGGAAGCTTGGTGCTTCATTTGCAGGGAGTCGGGGAAATCATGATCCATTACTCAAACCCTTATCAGAACTCTGTCCCTGGCTTTAAATATTCTAACACTTTCCAGCCAGAAAGTGAGCTGTCTTCAACAGTTTCTTCATGGTGATTTACAATATGATTAAAGAGATGCTATTGAGTTTAAAGAACAAAAATCCACATGTATTTGCAGAAGAGATTCATGACAATTAGAGCATTTTTTCTAATTCATGTAATTTATACATTTATTGTTTACTCTGCACATCTCCCAGCTTAGAGAAGGAAGTCAAATGTATGTTTATTTGCAATCATTTTTGCTTTGGGGTGTTATGACTAATGCAAAAGCTACAAGGGAATGTTTGCCTAATTTCTGGTGTGGCATCACTCCTCAGGTGAGTGTAGCATTCTGATTAGTGAACAGCTTCTGGTGGTTACCCTATACATATGCTTTTTAAGGGCCCTGTTCAGTCCAAGTTTGCCTCTAAAATGCAAGGCCTTTGCCTAAACATGTCTAGTAGTGCAGGCTGCCCCCTTTTTTGAAGAGATACTGCTTCATCTCTGATGCAAGTAATGGTGACTTTTAGTGTTCCTAAGCCAGCTCTTTCCTTGTATATCATTGCCACATGGGGCTCCTGGAGGTAAGTTGGGGAAAGCACCACCCAGTTATTCAGAAGCCTGGGAATAAGAATCTTAACTACTTTCCAGAGTTTGTTCTGTTCTGTGTTTCTCTGGCTTGAAATTCAAAGGTGGAGATTTCTTTTCACATTTGCCACCCCTGCCCTGTATTCTTCTCTCTTGCTTCATGTTGGGAAATAGGAAGGGGCCAGCTAACTCCATAACCCATTGTTGTCATGGCAGAAACCAGCTAGTGAAATGAGGAGTGGTGAAGTGAACGGGGATTATAAGGATTTCCACCCATCTGGGAGTGAGGGACTCCTAAAAAGCAACTGAAGAGTATGCAGTATCAGACAAATGCTAAGATGGGGAAAGGTTCTCAGTTGGCCAAGAGTGGGAAAGTGGGACTGGGGAAGTGTTAACTCGGCAATTATTTGTCACTGGATATCAAATAAGTGGGGTTGTACAAAATGGCAATGTTTTGTTTCTATTTGATTTGCCATTTCGAAGGGACAGTGTTTTGTTTCGCTGTTCTGTTCCGTTTTGCCAAAACTGTTTCAGATGAAAAGGGGGCAGAGGGGGAGTTATAAATTCCCCTCCCCCCCAAACTTAGACGCAGTCTCTTTCCAACAACTAGCAGCCATGCCACTTCTGCTGCTAGTGGCACCAAGGAGATGGGAGCAGTGTCTGCATCCCCTCCAATAACACCTGCCATAATAACAGCCTCAAGTATTGGGCTGTAACTCATTATATTAGGCTCTATATATAGCTATTTAAGCCCTACGTCTCTGTGGGTTAGGAGAACTCTGTGATTTACCACCAGACAAACGGTCAGAAGCTTTATTGAGTACAAAACATCTACTAAGCACAAAGCAATTCATCAGCCGGGGTTGCCAGAATATGAGTAGTCAACTTTACTGGGATTGCCAGAATATAAGCAGACAGTTACCAAAGACTGCATGCATTATCGTGACTCTTCACCACTTCACAGTCTGTCTAGAGCTGTTACGCAGGAGTTACTTCCCTCATCCAGCTGTTCTGGGAAAGCTTCCTGGGTTACGATGTTGTTCCAAGTCTGAAGGCTTGGTTCTTCTTTAGAGATCCGTGCAGATGTCTCCCTCAGAAATCCATACAACGAACAGTGAACAGCGAACACTGACTTTACTTGCTTAAACTATTTAACCCTTTAGTGATGTCACCATTATTAATGCTAGCCAAGCTTGTTATATAATATTTTGGCTCATAGATCCTAAGAATACAATAGCACATCCTTGCACCTTGAGAATATTTTCCTGTTTTTTTCCCATCCCCAAATTAATTACTCCCAAAACTTACCACATTATCATTTTATTTTAAGGTTCTATTGTTCCATTGTTTTAAATGTTCCATGTTCCCTGGCATTTTACCGGGGTTAACCTTAGGCCACAATCACTGTCAATTTTGAGTCATCTCGAAAAGACTTCTGGGGGTTTGGTCAACTTGACATGAACAGATTTGATTTTCCTTGCAATGCCAAGCACCACCACCATGGCAGCAACAAGCAGCACCAGCATTGCAGTCTCCTCCAACCCAATTTTAATTTCCAGCCTGAGCCTTCCAGTGCCAGAGGAAGAGCTGGAGCTGGATCTGAGTGCCATAGCAAGGGAAATGCTGGAGAAGGAGGGGGAATCATCTGAGTTTGTGCTCCACACCCCTCAAGTTGCCCTTAGAACCATGTCTCCTTCCCCAGAAGGCACTTCAGAGGAGGTTGAGGTAGAGGTTATGGAGGCAAGTGGCTCAGTTGAGTCTGCTCCTCCTGTTGCTGTGCACCTTGAGGCACCTACTTAGCTCAGGTCCCAGCAAGGGGTCCAAGAACCTAGACGGTTTAGTGGGGTCCATTAGGACCGTGACTGAACTGAAGCTTGAGGGCAGCCTCCCTATCTATTATCTTTTCCAACAAGACATGGCAGCCAGCTGCAAGAGAAGGTGCCCGCAGGGCAGAGCTAGCATGGTCACAGGGCCCTAGGCATATCACAGCCATCTCTAGGGACCCTATTCCATGACAAAGTGCAGTTTCCCAGAAACCCCTGCACCTATCTCCTTGACAGCCAGAAGAGTGGCCACCTGCCTTTCCAGCATACTTCATGTTTGGTGTGCTGGAAAATCTGTGTATGTCTCTGTAATGTAATGTATATATTTATGTAATATATTCTAATATTATATAAGCCTAAGTCTGTCTGTCCATAACACTTTATTCACGCTCTGATTGGCTGACAAACACAAGGAGTAACTATAATGGCTTGAATTCTCTTACCCTCAACTTTGGCTCAAATGGTGGGTTTCTCCTTCTTCTCTTCCCAGTTACTCTTTCCTATGCTACAGTCCATCATTTCTATGTGATCATTATCCTTTGTGTCATTCCTAGGCATCTGTGCTTCAAAATGTGAATCTACTGAACGAAGTCCTGGTGGAGGCATGCTGTTGCATTCCCTTACCATGTATCCCAGCTTGCCACACCAGAAACACACCAAATGGCTTCCTTGTGTCCAGTGAGCTTTGCGGGATTCTTTACGTTCTGGCTCTCTTTGAAGATTATTCAGTCCAGCTTTTGAGGTTGAGGTCCTTTCCCTGTTGTTTTCTCCTTGTGCACTGTTGAAATCCTGGGACAGTTGCAAGGCTTCTGATGATGATTTTGGTCGATGGCATCTCACACACCTTTGTGTGTTTTCGTCAAGGTCTAGGAGAAACTTTTCCAGCAGGATCTGATTACATATATACACCTGAGCACCTGGGGTCGCAGCCACTTGTCTAGTAGGTCAGCTAGGTTTTGAAGCAGTATTCGGGGGGACTTATTCTCTTTCTTTTGCTTAGCCTGCAATGTCTGTCAGTATCTTTCCAGATTGATGTCCAGCCGATACAATATTTGTTTCTTTAGTTTATCATAGTCCGTGGCTTCTCCCCGATTCATTGCCTGATGGGCAATGCTGCTTGGGATCTCCGATTAGGAGCACACCTAATTGCCCTGCCCAGCAGATCCTGTCCAACCCTGATGCTAGGGCTGCTCATTCAAAGCTTTCCAGGAAAACTTCTGGATTGTCTTGGGGCATCATCTTTGGGACTTTGAGGTCCAGTTGGTTTCTCTGAGCCCAGACCTGCTGCAGTAGCCATTTTTCTTCTAGGGCAGTTTGCCACGCAGCTTGCTGTTGCTATTGCTGCAACAGTTGGCCTACCAAATGCAAGGTTTGCTGGAGCAGTTCAGGGTTACCCATTGTGGCCCTGGTAGATCTATGTGAAGATCAGTTAGGTTGTAACTGAATTCCCTGCCAATGCACCACTTTGTGAGCAATGTTCCCTCTAAGGAGTAGCAGTCT